ATTGTAGCTACATATATTTTTTTTATTTCATACAAATTCCACCTACCTATTGAATTTTTTGTTGGAAAATTTTTGGTGGCACGACTAACTTTTCATAAACAGATAGTGGCACACTGTTAAGAAAGTTTGGCCACTCCTGCTGTAAATAAACCCTTACAGAGAATGTGTAGAAATGCAAACAAATTTAATAGTAATGATTTTTTTTTTCAGTTATCACTAAGTACTATTCACTAAATACTATTAAGATGATTTGTAAAAAAATGGCAAGTCCGTAAATAAACATTACATTACATAAATTATAAATTAAAGTTGCTATTATAATTGCCATTTTGTTTGTTTATAAAATACACTCCATAAAAGGCTTTTTCATATTATCTTTTATTTTTCTTTGTAAACAAATAAATTTAACTTATTATAGCAAGTGCAATACACATTTGTTTATTCTGAAACAAGGTCAATGTTTAAATTCCTATTTTGTATAACTTATTGGCAGTGAAATGACTGATAGGAAGGTGTGCGGAATAATAAGTTATTTCTTTCTTATAAAGTATGAAGTATGATATCCCAACAAAGCTAAAATTATTGAATAAATTTAATACTTTATGGGATTCACTTGAGGGAGGATAAATAGTTATTAATAATCTTAATCTCCCAATACACTTTTTATAGATCTATAAATCCTAATTTGATATATTTATAATGGATTTGCAATAGAAACAATAGGATTAGAGGATAAAATTAAATTTCATATTTCTTTTAAATCTATATTAATAATATTTTCACTCAACCCACTTCAGAAAATATTGCAAAATATAAACTACAGTATATTTATGACGAAAAGTTGCCATATTTTTATGTTGGAAATAAGACCATGTATCTTTTGTACGTCAATAAGTGAATTGGATATAAAGGCGTTGCCTTGCAAAACCAAGATATCTTTGGACAACTTTGTGCAAATTCTATCTATAAAATTTTTTCTCGTATTGTGGTCCGTAGCGTCGAATAGTAATTCCTACTTATTTTTTTACCATTATCAACAAAAGCTGAAAACGATGATGATAAGGATACTAAACACGATGTGAACCATACTGATCAAGGAATAATAAAGCCTGCTATCCATAAAGAAGTAACCAAAGTGTTCAAAAACGGCTCCAGAATTTGATTTAATAACGAGACATTCTACAACTACATAGGAAGGCCATCGTAAAACGCACAACTTCATAAATGCAATAATAAAGTTACAATATATATCAATAACGTGGAAAACAGCTGAACTAGATTACCAAACCAGGGAAACCAGTAAATAAACTAGAATTCTACATACCCATATCGTTTCTACCAATTATCACTAAATTATTGGAGAATATATTGTTAATAAGAATACAACCTATACTCTACCGCAAAGAAATTATTCCTTCCTATCGATTTGAATTCCGTAATAAATACTCAACAAGAGACCAAACACATCGCATAACAAATATAATAGTGAATATCTCTAGAAGATAATAAAATAAATTCACCTATTTTCCATATTCGGAAGTATGACCAATCAAAGAAGGAATCACACAGGCGAGTGTTCTAGGACCCTTACTACATTTATTCTATACAGTTCATCAAAAATTGCTGAAAGTATGAAAATCTAACTGTATGCGCGAACAATGAAGTGAGAACGTACTCTGAAGGAAAAAGATAGCCTGTACGCGCGGGTGAACTTTAAAATATAGGTACAATCGGAGACACAAATATGGAAACGTAAAGTTTGAATAGTTTCTAATAGGTCTCGTATACAATTATTATTACTGGCATTACTTTTCTTCAGTATATTTCAGTATATTTGTGGTATTTGTTCTACAAAGTGAGATGTAAAAAAACAGATCCAACAAAAACCGCTTGTGTTGCTATAAATTATGGCATTATAAACCAAAAATTATATTTTTATATTGACCATTTATACTTAATATTACCATTATATTGACCAAAAGGTTTCGGAGAAAAAGGGCGTAAGCAGTAGGGTAATAAAGTAGAAATAAAATCGTCTAATACATATTTTGTGATGCTCCTGAATCTATTATAAATGAAATCTGGCTGTCATCATTGTTGAGATTTTCAGCTGATAGGGCTGTGATAAAACTTACTTCATTTTCAGCTACTTTGGCATGTATATTCTGATTACTTTGGGAATTATTACCAACTCCTCTGCCACGGGAATAGTTATTTCCTCGACTGCTATAACCTCTATACTTACTGTGTTTTCTAAAACAATTATACACTAAATGACTTTCAAGTCCAGAAAATGAGCAACGAGATTTTTTATTATATTGCTTTGTATGAAATGAGGATTCTTCACTACTTGCACAATATTTATCAACTTTAATTCTGCGTTAAGTAATTTTCTTTGACAAAATCAACAGTTAACTTGTCGTTTGACGTTTAGAATACAGTAATGACATTGTCAAACGTATCTGTCATTGCTAACAACAGGTGACAAACTTTATCATCCTCCTCTATAACGGTTCTGGTCGATTCTAAGTCACGAATTAAACAATCGAACTCAACAAAAAACTTTTGTAACTCGGTGCCCTGCTTATATTTTAAGGTTAACAACCTTTACGCACATATAAACGGGAACAAGTACTTTTCTTTCAAAAACCTCTAAATTTTGTACCATTTCATAAGCTGACTTACAATCACAAATGTATTCTAAATGTTCATCTGTAATGATGTGACAATAATAGACCTTGCTGCTGCATCGTGCTTTTTATGTTGAGATTGCTCGTCTCTTGATAAAGACGCTAGATGTGTTGCACTTCTTCTTCTTCTTAGGGTGCCTGTCCGTTCCGAACGTTGGCGATCATTCTGGCTATGATGATTTTGTTGGTTGCTATACGAAATAGCTGTGTTGAGGTCTTTCTATAAAATGCTCTCAGGTTAGCAAGCCAGGATATTCTTCTTCGTCCTGGGGCTCTTTTTCCTTCAATTTTACCCCGTAAAATGCATTGGAGTAGCTCGTATCTGCCTTGATTTCTCATTATTTGTCCCAAGTACTCCAGCTTACGGCTCTTCACAATGTTGAATAATCCGCGGTTGTGTTGATCATCCGCAGTACTTCTTCATTTGTGACTTTGTCTGTCCATGGTAATTTCAGGATTCTTCTGTATAACCATAATTCAAACGCTTGAAGTTTTGATAGAGTTTCCGCCTTCAGTGTCCACGTTTCTACTCCATACAGAAGCACTGAGTACACGTAACATTTAAGGAGCCTTATTTTTGTTTTCAGGCTGAGGCCATGGCTTTTGAACACAGAGCTCATAGTCAAGTGAGTGCACTTACTTCAGTAGTAATTAAATGTCTAACACCTCTGGCATTTAAAAGGTTGCCTAATCTAAATTTCCAGGACGAAGAATTGGTGGATGTTAATTGCGGATACAAACTCACTTTTGAATTCGCCCTACTTTGGTCGTCCATTTTTAATTTCATGTCGGTCATTAACTGCAACACATTTTGCCGGTTTGTATAAAAAGAAACAGATACTTTACTTTTTATAGAATGTACTATTGGCATGTACTCTGGGCCCTTAACCTTTTGGAAAAGCTTTCAGAGTACAATTATATATATTAAATATGGATAGTGGAATGGAGAGAATAAAACTCCTCTTCACTTGTGCAACACAGAATAATAACTTCTTTATTGTACTGTCAACATAGCCAACTTGATTTACATAGTGTTTGGGATCAGGATAGCCAACATTTCAACATAATAAACAAGCGAATATGTTAACAAATGCAGATTCAAATAATTCAAATAATAATTCAGCTACAACAACTGTTAAACCTGAAAGCAACTGTGACAGACATTAAAAATACCATTTACCATTTTAGTGAGACTGAATATCGTGTCGTGTATCATTGCAGCTTTTGCAGCAATCTTGCAGCGTCTTGAAGAGGTGTACGAGCGGATTGAAAATGTGAGTTCTCTTGTACAAAGGATTGATTCTATTGTTCTACAGAATTGTAAAATATGAAATATATTTGATGTTTATTAATTCAACGAATGAGATTTGTGCTCTACGTCTTAAGTATTTAGAAAATATTAAAAACTACAGACGTGAAGGTAAGCCAATCGTATATGTTGAGGAAAGCTATGTACATGCAGGACACACTGCGTCAAACAGCTGGTCACATGATAGTGGTAAAGGATTGTTCAAAAACATTTCAAAAGGAAGTAAGTTGGTTATTACAACAGTGATGGGCAAATGGTTTTCGTATCGAACGTCTTTTTAATGCTTACATTAGGTGCCAAGTCGGCAGATTATCATTATTTATTTCGTGTACGAACTATATTGCTTACAAGTCTTACAGTTTAAGTTAAACAACTATATTAAAAATAAGATACACCACAGTAAAATTTTATAAATAAAATAAATTCAAATAGATATATTAAAGTCCATACAAAAATGAATTAAAATAATACAATTTTTATATTTCGTTTAACCAGTGGTTGATATAAGCTAATGTTACCTCATTGCATTACATTAAATCTACATCACAGCAGTAGGTGTCTCATTAATTGGATCACACCGCAGGCACAGCTGTCATCTCCTTCATTGTATTCCCAGGATACTGTATTTTATTTGGATCTTCCGACACATGTACGCAGACTATTCAGTGTTTTCCATAACTATCATAATGATAGTTATGGATGCATATACATTATGATAAATGTGGAAAACTTCGAAAAATGGTCAAAAGAACAGCTTTGTTACGTTAGACATTACTTTTCCGAGACATTCTCGCCACTGCTTTCGTAACTAGCTGTACTGTACACTAATTTTCAACGAATCATTGTTCAGCGTTGCTGCTTTGTTGATAATAATTATTAAATCATTTGCAATGCACTTTTGTGTCACCCAGAGAGATTAATTCCAATATATTTGAAGTGTGATGTCTGTTCTACATATCATTTTAGTTCTTTAATTGTAATTGCTATTTTTTTTTTGTTAGGAACACGATGTGGAGTTAGAACTACTGAGAGAAGATAATGAACAACTTGTAACACAATATGAAAGGGAAAAAGGAGCACGAAAGACTTCAGAACAGAAGTTATTGGAGTATGAAGATGCTGCAGAAGGTAAGTATTTAATATTTTAATAGTAAGCACCAACGATGAAGGTATTGAACATGTAATTAAATATATCAGAATTTTTCTGTTTAAATACAATCAATTTTAATCAGTGTAGCTAAGGCCATACTTGCAGAATTGATTGTGAAAAGTTCTAAGTTTCTCAAACGTTTCACTAGAGCTGAAAATTTGCTAACTAGACACTTTATTGACTCGTGCTAGTTTATTATAGGAATCTATCTATATTCCGGGCGCGTATGCCCCATCTCTTGCCTTCTGCTTATCCATAGGTTCATTCGATAAACCCATGTTAGTAAGTACAGTTACTGAACCTAAAAATGTGGTATTTCCTCTAAATTCTCTAAAACTGCATCAGTTTACTTGAAATTTTGACAGCAGTTGTAGAATAACTCAAATGAAAGTTATAAAGTGCCGATATATGCTTTTACCCTGTGGGTGAATGCTACTCCTTGTGAGGGGTGGTAAAAAATGTCATTTCTTGTTAACTGAAATTGAATTTGCTAATTGAAAATTCGCAACAACTACATGTTTTTTAACTTTTTTTCAGGAATAACTAAACAAAATTACGTTGTATGAAAAAAACAATATTATCAAAAATAAAGTTTATAAAAAACAACGAAATCGTTAAGTTTTATTAGGAATAATAACACTTTTAAAATTATTTGATAAGTTTTCCCCAATAAATCGGTCGCTTTTCAGTAATTTAACGTTAAAGTCTTCAAATAAATTTTCGGCAAAGAAAAAATCGGCATCATGGAGCTATAACTCGCTCATCAAGCAAAAAGACAAAAGAGGGAATCTAATCGTTATGAAAAGGAGACCAAAATTCATAAAAGTGGCCTCTTAATATTGCGGACTTTCTAGAAGATATTTTTAAGAAACTGGAATGGAACAATAAGGGTATCAACGTCGACGGATCATACTTAAACCACTTTAGATTCGCAGATGACATAGTTTTAATAGCCGATAATATCCAAGAACTAAATGATATGTTACACCAATTAAATGCAGTTTCAGGAGCGGTAGGCTTAAAAATGAACTACAGCAAAACAAAAATATTGAGCCGAGACCAGACAAATATAACAATACAAAATCATACCATAGAAAATGTGGAACATTATGTATATCTAGGTCATGTTATCAAACTAGGAAAACCAAATCAAGATGCTGAAATTAAAAGAAGAACACAACTGGCTTGGGGCGCTTTCGGCAAACTAGCACATATCTTGAAAAACACCTCCATTCCTATAAACTTAAAGAAAAAGGTGTATAACGCATGCATACTACCAGTTTGTACCTACGGCTTGGAGACAGTAGCACTTACCAAAAAATCTGCCAAAAAATTAGAAACAACGCAAAGAGCAATGGAACGAATCATGCTTGGAATATCACTAAGAGACAAGATTAGAAACACCGAGATAAGACGTAGAACGAAGATTAGGGATATTGTGGAAGAAATTACAAAAATGAAATGGCGCTGGGCAGGTCACGTAGCCCGATATAATGACAACAGGTGGACACGGAGAATTCTAGAATGGAGACCAAGGACGACAACAAGAAGCATGGGAAGACCTCAAAAAGGATGGGTAGATGACATAAGAGCAGTGGCAGGCAAACAGTGGATTAGATTGGCGCAAGATAGAGAAAGATGGAAGCAATTAGGAGAGACCTATATTCAGGAGTGGATGGAAAATGGTTGACAAAGAAGAATATTGCGGACATATCCGGAAATGCAAAGGCGCCAAATTTAAATTTTCTGCTACTTATTAACAATAGCTATAAAATATTTTTCAGAATGTGTCTTAGACGAGAAAGGTTTAATTAAATATTAACGATAATAGTCTAAAATGGGACACAATTGTTAAAAAACTTCAATATAAATAAGATTTAATGACATTTGGAACAAACAATAATAATCCGACTAAATTTGATTTCTTAAACAAGGAAAGAGACTCTCTTTCCTTATTTAATGTGGCTTCTTAAAATGGCACAACCGTCTAACAATATTTTTACCCCACTACCTTTACATTCCCTCTTTTGTCTTTTTGCTCAATAGACTTGCTTTATATTGCATTTATAACAATAAAATAGCGACTTTCGTTGTTTTTGGGTAAGCGTGTTTTTTTTTTCATACTACGTCACGTTCTTTAGTTATTAGCAGAGAAAAGTTAACAAACGTGTTTTTTTGGCCATTTCAAATAAGGATAACTCCAACTAAGGATAATTCAAATAAGAATTGACGTTTTAAATTTACTCCTGTCAAAATTTCAAGTAAATTGATCTATTAGTTTCGAAACACAATTCAGATTTCTGCTTTAATCTGTGCTTTCTAAAAATTGCAAAGCAAAATAGACGTTGATGAAGGTGTTAAAAGAGACGTGGGGAATCTAAAATTTGCATTCCACCACACGTCTTTTCAACTAAGCAGAAATCCTTAGCGAATTGGTTTCTAGTACTCGTACAGAGTAGATCCGAAGTTGAAAAGACGTGTCGTGGAATGAAAATTTTAGATTCCCCACGTCTCTTTTAACACCTTTATCAACGTCTGTTTTGCTTTGCAATTTTTAGAAAGCACAGATTAAAGCGGAAATCTGAATTGTGTTTCGAAACTATTTTACGGTTTTATTGTCAGATGTCGCTATTGCGTCCGTATCGAAGCCATTTTAGTGTTGCTTCTTAAAAGACAGAAAATATTGATCTTTCACGTTGAGAACACCTTCGAATAACTGTTCTGATGAGACCTATTAGGTCGAAATACGTATCAACAGATACAAAGGCGCTGTTTGCGTGAAATCAAATATTTGCTGTCTTTTTCACTAAATTGATCTAGTTTTAAAAAATTCGTAACGGAAATTGTTCGGTCACTGCACTATGTCTCTTCTAAATATGCCTATCTTCTAGAGATGTCGGCGACCACATTAACCCATCTTATTCTATTCACAGCAGCTCGAATACATAGGGGAGATCCTTGTACTTTGGAACGGTTTTTAAATAAAAGCAGGTTTTTAAATAAAAGCAGGTTTTTAAATAAAAGCAAATATGCTTATGAATACAAAATTCACCATATCCTAAAGGCCTCAAAGTACACACCGAGGTTGGTACTTTAGAACATAAGTATGTGTACTTTGAAACGCTTATTTATTGGACGTTAAATGCAGATAAATCGATAGAAAATGCCATCTCAGCATTTCTTTTGGAAGTGCCCCCCACTACTCAAGGGGCTCATCACCATATCTTCGTCAGGCACGTCATAGACATAGACAGTGTCATTTTCGAACAGAAATTTGGCGGCAAAGTTACTTCTTTTTAGGTAACTAACTTTAAACCCATCAATCATTCACTCCAACGACATTAGCAACAAAATATCGTTTTGTCTTTTTTGTTGCAATTTGTGCTAAAATAAAATATCCCACGTAGGGCTTTTTGACAGACTCGAGAAAATCTTTATCTTCCTCTTCTGCATTGGCAAAATCCACGTCATCTAGTGAGTCGTCGCACGTTATTTCGCTTTCTTTTATTACATCTTCATCAGAACTACTATCAAGAATCTTTTTGGTTGCTTTTTGTTTTTTTGAAACAAAATTCTTCGTGGTTTTAAGGAGCGCCATCATTTCAATCTCGTTCTTCTCTGGGGTATCTGTAACTATTCTACAGCGCCCTAGTTTCTTACCTACTTTCTTCGTAAATTTCCTCGCAGCTGCCTTGGGAAACGGGCGAATTTGTTCTGGGCTTTTATGTTGATTTAATTCATTGGATACTAAGGAAGAACTAGGATCATTAAACATACTAGTTGTTCCTGATGGCATTCCTAGACCTCTACAGAAATATTCGAGGAACTATTAGTTTCGGAGGTATTATTTCGGAGGAGTATTGATTATTTCTTGACTCTTCGGCAACTGGTGGTCTATCCGTAACATATGAACTGAGAAATTCGTGCTCCTCGAAAATGTTTCTGTTGAATGGAAAAATTCTAGAAACGGTAAAACAAGACTGGATATTTTTTTGTGTAAATGCCTGTGGATATGCATTCCCAACACACTCAGCAATATCATAGATTGATATCGTTTTTGCAGGATTTGAAATTAGTCAGTCGGAACAAGCTATATTATAATATTTCTTTAGAGGACCGAAAACCGACCTATCTAACGGTTGTATCTTGTGGCTGGTGTGGGGTGGAAAGGTAAGCATGACGACTCCTGATGATTTTGCTAAATTTAAAGCTTCCACTGAAATGTGGCTCTCATGATTGTCGACAATCACTAGTGATTTGTTGTCAGTACTTGAATTTGTATGTTTTATATAGTGGTTTAAATACTCAACAAAAATCGTGGAGTTAGACCATCCAACGCGCTCCCCAACACTACCTATTGGAGACCCTTTCCGCATGTGTTCCTTAAAAACACATGGAGCAATGAATCTCACTGGACTATGTATTCTAGACTAATTAGCAGATTCATTGAGATTTTATACTCCTACGCTAGGCTTTCCGTTTTGTGGCCAGTCCACGAACCATAGCTCCATCTGATCTCTCACAATGAAGTGAAAGCAATTCGGCCGCCTAGCCGAATTTGCTACGTTTTTTTTTATGATGGAAATTATTGCAGTTTTTATCAGTTGGGATTTATACGTGGTTTCTTTACCGTTAATATTATCGCCTAACACACTGTTACTTGCTTGTTCTCTATTTTATTTTAGAGAATGTATTAAATAATGTAAATGAATATAATTGAGTCATTTAGAATAATTAATTTCCAACAAAACACTTATTTAATTATTTTTCAGGGGAAAGAAAGGAGATGTCCACTCGTTTGGAAGCACTCGAGAGCATCGTGCGAATGCTCGAACTCAAACACAAAAATTCCATGGAACACGCTGGCCGTTTAGAAGAAAGAGAAGGGGAATTGAAAAAGGAATACGCTAAGCTTCACGAGAGATATACGGAACTATTCAAAACGCATGTAGATTACATGGAACGAACGAAACTATTACATTCTAGTCAACAATTAGCCAATGAACGAGTCGATTCTGGACGACTGAATTCCAATCGCTTGAATGTCGGCAGAAGTTCGGGACCTATTTCGTTTGGATTTGAATCACTAGCCAATGCCGAAATTGTTGATAGTGTGCCGTCCTCGCCCATGAGTAGTGCTCATTCCTCTCCTAGGTAAGTTTATGGACCCATAGTGAAAAAATTAAATTTACTCAATGTACTCTTCTATTCGAGCAATGGGAAATTGTAAACGTTAGAAAATAATGACAAATTATCACACGATTATAATAGTAATTACCTTCACACTATAAATTGTCTCAAAGTGTCTGTACAGGGTAAATGCACAACATCGATCCATACTTCTTTGCAAAGTTGTATTAAAATAAACGTCATTTCTTACTACTTAGCCTAATCCATCTTTTGTGTTGAGGGTAGCTTAAGTACTAATGCCCACTAACGATCCTGCCTGGCTTCTTTCTGTCAGTGGTTCTCCAACATAAATAATATTTGCTATCACATACTTAAGTTAAATTAAAATAAAATGGAAATTAAGAAATGCTTTTTATTTGTGTCACACAAGTAGTTTGTTTTTAATTCTACAGTATGTGCTAGCGATACAAAAAATTTGTTTATAGTTTTATATAAAATCGAATAAAATAAAACTGAAATATAAAGAAACATTTTATTTATGTATTCAAAAGTTAAGGGGGAAGGATATATAAAATCGAATAAAATAAAACTACAATATAAAGAAACATTTTATTTATGTATTGTTCGGTTCAAAAGTTAAGGGGGGAAGGACTTTTAAAAACCACACTGTATATGTTGGCAGTAACAAAACGTAGAAATATCCGAAAATAAAACTAATAAATAAGTTTAAAATAAAAGAAGTCATTGTATTTAATTTCGTATGTAAATAATCGTAATTGTATACCTTATATTATATATATATATATATATATATATTATATATATATATATATATATATATATAAATTATATTTAGTTCCTTTTTCTGTTAATCGCTGTCATATTTAGTTTCTGCTTAACTATCATTATCATTATTAATTTGTTCGATATCATCCAACAAATTGTTAATTTTCCACATTTTTTTTTCTGTTGCTATTACGTGGTTTACGTAGTTTTTCCATTTCTCTGGCGTAATGACCTGGTACGTTGCTGTAATTAAATTTTGAATTTCAGCTTCTTTAAAATTCGCGTTGCGTCCAGCTATATACCGTTTCACTTCACTCCAAACCATTTCGATGGGATTGAGTTCACAGTGAAAGGGTGGGAGCCTCAGAATCTTCACATTGTGCTTTTTGGCAATAACTTCTATTAAGTACCTGTCATATTTTGCTTTAAAGGCCTTGACTACAACAAGTAACTCGCATTTTAGGTAGTCTTCTTCAAAAAATAGGTCCTTTGACAGAAGCCATTCTTGAATATCTTTTTTTAGTGTTGAACTGTTGGGAATTTGTTCTGACTTTCTGCTGTGATAGGAGGCATTGTCCACTACCACAACAGTTTTTTCTGGCAAATTTAGCATTAAGTTATTTTCGAACCAATCTTCGAAGGTCGGTCCATCCATTTCGTCGTGGTAGTCCTGAGTATTTTTCTTTGCCAAAAACGTGAATTCTGCTCCATCAAAAAATCCACTGGTAGATCCTGCGTGCAATAAAACGAACCGTGCACTACGAGCTGTTGGAGTTTTTAATCCTGTTGTCAGATAACGAACAAAAGCATCGCGATGAGATGTAATTGTTTTATCAACCCATTCTTTTTTCACACTGTGCCCGATATTTACCCATGATTCATCCAAATACACTATCTTGTATCCTTCTGCACGATATTTACGAATTGCGCGTAAATAACAATGACGCCACGAGATCATTTCTGGTTTTTCAATCAAAATTGAATTTCTGCCACGTTTTATAAACACAAAATCCATATCACTCATCAAGCGATGTAGCGTGGCTGTGGAACATTGGGCAACGTTTCTTTGACATTTACAACAGCTAATATGGTATTTATTGTTGGTGGTATGTTTTCACGAAAAAAATGATGAATTATTCTACGAATTTGGCCACCTTCATCGTACTTGTCACCAGAAGTAACAACATTTCGCTTCTTGGGCCTGCTCTTTGGGGATTGTAATCCAGCAGGTGATAAATATTCCTGTCGTATGCGAAACAGAGTCTTTTAGCAAAGACCACTCATTACTGACACTTTATACATTTACAATATTCATTAGTGTCTGCTTCTCTGAAAATTTCAGAGCTTTTCCACGTTTCCATTGAACAATTTCCTCCATTTTGCGGTAAAAATTTGGCGTTAAATATAACAATAGCCAACAACAGAAAATAACAATAATTGCCAACAGCAAATCACAACAACAGTCACCAACAAATAATAACAATAATAAAACAGTAACAGTACATCCAAGATGGTAAAAATAATCGTAACTCGAATATGTTTACGCGCTACGAAGAACAAATAAAGACTAATTAAGGCCTGGATGTATCAAGCTTTTAAAACATATTCTGTACAAGAATTACTCTAATTGCTTCTTAATTACTGAATAACTTAGAAGAAAGTATTTGAAAAACTTTGAAACAAATGTTTATTTAATGCACATTTTATTATACTACTGCTGCTAATAAAAGATAAAAGTTGATACGTTACTATTAGAATCAAATAATGTATAGTATTATGTAAAATTATTAGCAAACGATATTTGTAAATTACATAAAATTGTACATGAGAACTTGTTGAGAACTCCTGGTTTATTCCGTTTATTTTGAAAGATAGACAATACAGAACGCCATTGCTCACTGCATAAAACTGGCAACGTCTTGGCGAAATTCCTATAAGGTTAGCATTGCACATCTTTCCTGTACAGACTAGTCACTTTGGGACAAAGTATAGTCCAGTAAAAGCATTGCAACAGTAAGAGTACCGTTATTTATCGGACCTATAAGAATCAATATTTTATTTATACTGTTTTTTACCAATTCATACCACAATAATTTTATTATGTAAATAACACTTCTCTATACTAATGGTGACTGGTAATAATTTTGGGCAGAGGAACTTTGATTCCAGAATACAAAAAAATAAATAGGTATGTACCAAAAGTCTGCTTCATAAAATGAAACTCAATCCTTCTGTTTTTATCGGAGATGAAAATTCTCAAACTAAAGTTTTTTTCGATGAACAACATGTCAAGCGCCGTCACTCTTTCTTACGACATTAATATAAGATATCAATGTTTTCTAAGTGTAGTTCCTTTCTATAACGTTCATAATTTTGTCTGAAACAAATTTGCATCAGATAGATGATTTTTAAAAGCAAAACAATTATGGCGCATAACGAATAACACATAGCGAATGTGGTGCCGCCATAAATTTCGTAATTCAGTGATTGCAGGGGGCAGCTTATTGTAAAATTTAATACCGTAAGTATTTGGCCCATCTCTACTTCTTTGGAGCCTGGTACAGGACAACAGTAAAGCATTCTTATTACTGGTTTCATATTGGTGTACATCCTCATGTCTTTGATGACGATCTATCTTTTGTTTTACATGAACAACAGTCTCTAAAATAAATAGTGAAAGTAGAGTTAGTATGTGTAGTGCAACAAATGCTTGCCGACATTCTTTCTCATAGGACAAGCCAGCAATTATCCTTACCACTCTTCTCTGAATGTGAAAGACATCTTTGGCTCTAGCACTGTGACCCTATGCAAAAAATTACATGGTTGGCGTGTGAATGACACAGTGCAAAATAGGCATGTTTTAGAGTCAATTGAGATACACATTCAGAAAGTCTTCTCATCAGAAAAGTTGCAGATCCTAATTTAGTAACAAGGGACCTTGTATGAGCCTTCCAACACAGTCCTGCATCCAAGTAAACCCCAAAAAAATTATTTATTTGTCTGCATCCCCGGAAGGAAGTTGCCTTGTTGAAAAAATCAAAGTTTGAGTTTTATTGAGGTTTAGAAGCAATTTATTTGCTGCAAACCATTGTTATGCATTAACTTGAGCATAATACCTGTGATATAATAATAATAATAATATACGTTTATTCAAATCCATAAGTATTACATTAATTTACAATTTCAATTTCAGTTTACTTACAGTAACATAAACGTAAAAAAAAGTCTTTAGAGCATTAACATGCTTGTTGACTTAAGCTGTCTAATATTAACAGGTTTAATGTTTTTTTTTACAAATTATTATTTCATTTTTACAGTTTCTAATCTAATCTAATTTGTTTCGTTTTTTTTTATCTAGTATAATTTAAATTTATTAAATTGTTACACAACTCCCTTTTTTCTTTTACCCAAGCATTAACTAATTTTTTATACAAATAAAAATTTTTGATATTTTTAAAATTTATGGGCAATTGATTGTATATTCTTGGAGCAAAATATTTAATTGACCGTTGCGTGATTGTTTTTGAAGTATGAAGACATTCAACATTCAATTTTCTTCTTGTTTCATAATTTGACACTTTTACTTTAAGAGGTATTTTATCTTTATGAATATTTTTAAGTAGCTCTAAGCAGTACAATTGCCGAATATCAAGAACCTGAGTTTCATGAAAAAGTTGGTCTGAGGGATATGTTTTTCGTTTTCCATATATTAGTTTAAGAAACCATTTCTGAGTATTTTGAAGGGTCACCAGATGGCAATCAGCTACGCCACCCCATCCTAAAATCCCATATACAAGATGAGATTATACTAAAGACAGGTAAAGCATTTTAAGCTGTTCAACATCTAAAAACTCTTTTAAATAGCGGAATTTTGGTAACAGTCCTCTTATTTTTCTTATAATATTTTTTATTTGTAAGTCCCATTTAAGGTGCCTGTCAATTAAAACTCCTAAATATTTTATGTATTCTGCTTTAAATATTTGTTGTTTTTTATTTATTTTTATTGAGTTAAAAGTTGGCAGAGAATTTTTATATATTGCAAAAGGTATATATTTAGTTTTTTTCGTAATTTATTGTGAGTTTATTTATTTGCAACCATGTTTTTATAACTTTGAAGTCTTGTTCAACTATAGTCTTAAGATCTTCCCAATTTTCGGCCTTATAAAAAATTGCGGTGTCATCAGCAAAGCTTTTTATGTTTCCATCAGTTTTTAGTTTAAGCATGTCATTAACATAGAGTGTAAAGAGTAGAGGGCCTAAAACGGTCCCTTGCGGTACGCCATAATTAATTACTTCAGAATCACTTTCGACACCATCAATTTCTACAAATTGTTTTCTGTCTGTTAAGTAACTTTTTAGTAATGTCAAAACGCGTCCTCTCAGACCATACTTCTCAAGTTTCTCTAACAAGATTCCGTGAGATATCGTGTCAAACGCCTTAGAGAGATCGACAAATATGCATAAACTACGTTTATTAGACTCAGAAGCTTCTGATATTTGTGATGTTAGTTTACAAATTGCATCTTGTGTAGATTTTCTTTCTCTAAAACCGTATTGACAATCCGATATTATACTAAACCTATCCAAAAAACTCACTAATCTATTTTTTAAAATTTTTTCAAATATTTTGGAAAAAACAGACAACAAAGATACTGGTCTGTAATTAATCACGTCTTCTTTATTTCCTTTCTTAAACAGAGGTTTGATTTTGCCTATTTTTAGACATTCTGGAAAACAACCATCCTGAAAACATGCATTAATGAGAAAAGTTAAAGGAGTAATAATTTCTTCCTTAATTTGTTTGATGGTTTCTGTCTTAATCCCATCCAAACCAGGAGATTTTTTGTGTTTTAAAGATTGTATTGCATTTACCACTTCTTTTTGGTCAACAGGATACAAGTACATGCTGCTTTCTATCCTATCTATGTCTTCAATCTGTTCATTACAAATGGGTATTTTTTGTGCATACCTTTGTCCCAATGTACTATAATGTGTATTAAATTCATTTGCAATTTCTTTTCTGTCAATTATTTTTTCTCCTGTTTTGGTTTTAATCGATTCAATTTTTGTATTTCCTTTTATTTTTCCACACAATGAATTAATTACATTCCAAAGTGATGAAGAAGAGGTCTTATTTTTTTCAATTCGTTGTTTTGTATAATTTCTTTTTGCAATTTTAACTAAGTGTCTTAATTTATTTTTATATTCTGTATATCGTTGTTTTTTTTAAGTTATCTGAGGGATCTTGGATTAGCTGATCATACAATCTGTGTTTTTCCTGTACAGACTTTAAAAGTCCCCCTGTCATCCAATCTTTTTTAAAAGTGGTTTTTAGGTCATTTCCTTTTTAAATAATTGTATTTTTGTTTATTAAATTTAAAATTTTGTCAATGAAAAGTTTTACCGCTTCATTTTTATTTGTTTTATTGTAAATATCCAACCACTTTTCCTGCTTCAAATTGTTTTTTTAGATTTTTGTAGTTGATGTACTTCTTTATTATTACTTTGTTTTCTTTGGTTTTGGTTAGATTAGGAATGGAAACTGCGATTGGATAATGATCTGAAGTAGTAATTATTTTCAAATATAAATGAAGTTATGTTAGTGTAATCAGTAGGTCTTTTTATAAAGAAATGGTCTATACAAGTTTGACTTCTAGGTCTAGTTGTTTTATTTATATAAGACAAAAAATTTTGTGAAGCTAGAATATTCTGGTATTCTTCAGTGTGATCTAGATCCTCAAACAAATTAATATTGATATCACCAACTAATATATGAAAACACATTCGTTTTTTTACTTATGAGGTAATTGATAGGAGGGAGTGATATTGACCTATTAAATTGGCTGGGTCATCATTGTCACCTTTCTTATATACTGATACCAGCACTGCTTTTTTAAAATCAGGAAAGATGCTTTCTTTAAAACAGTGATTTATAAATGTTGTTAAATGACTAGCCATGAGAGGTTTTCACTCCTTTTATTACATTAACAGAGAATCCGAAATAGCTCCTACTTTTCTTGTTTACCATATTAGTTAAAACATCTCTAATTTCAATGAGAGAAACACCTTGGATGGGAAATACTTTTTCGGGCAGAGTGACATCAAAATCTAAGGGATTCAAGACGGAGGGTTAAATCTGGGTCGGCAAGTTACAATCAACATTAGTAAAGAAATCATTAAATTCATTGTGTGAAATGTTTGTTTCCAACTTGTTCTTAAACTTGTTTCGATGTTCATTGATACTATCCCACATTCACTTAATTGTATTAGATGTTGTTGCAATAAGGTTATCATTGTTAGCAGATTTTATTGCCAATTTCTAATATTTTATGTGATCTGTTAATAAATTTTAATAGAGTCAATGTGATAGTTAATAGAGTCAATGTAGGAAACATCATATTTCTCTTTTATCAAGTGAAGAGTTTCTCTCATGAACTTCAAGTCATCATTGAACCAATTTATTAGTCGATTTTGATCTCTAGTCAGAGTGTAAGAAAAAGAGCCTTTACCCTTTTGAGTAATTGGTTTGAAAACAAATCAAAGTGCTGGATCATTGCCACTAGTAGGCACAAGGAAATCAATAAGCTGGCTACATTGGTTAGAGAGTGCAGTATCAATAACATACACATTACAGTCATGATAATCCAAACTCCGTAATATATTTCCCAGAAATTCTTTCCCCTTGCGGGTTCAAAGGCCAACTGGGCTAGTCCAAAAGAGGAAAACAACATATTCTCGAGTCACTGAAATTGAAGTCCCCTACAACCAATAGATTACCTTTACCATGAACAATAGTCACGGTTCGCTCCATTACCTCCAGAAAAATATCCAAAGAAGCAGATGGTTGCCTCTAAACTAAAATTATATACAATTTAAATGTTTTTACACAGAAAATCTATACTATGTTATATATAAGGCTTCAATCTCTCCATTTGTGTGCCAATGCCATATACAAACAATGTCACAGTTTTTGACAGCTAAGAACATTTCAAATTAATTTGCTTTATTCCTCATTGAATGTATATTTATGTGAAATAGATTTAGTTTGTTCTTTTGTTATGCACCGCCCTCAGGCTCTTGACACTTGTATGTAGCATCTTTTTTAAATCAATGACCATTTACAGCATTTGGTTTCATGACCTTATCACACTCACTTGTTTTTACTTTTAAAAATGTCCACCTTTATTGTCAAAAAAATCTTTATACCGGTTCATGTGAAATCTTTTACCCTTACACCAGCCGGTCAGAAATCGGGTTGATACATCTCGTTCGATATGTTCCTGACTTCTTCCTCTTCACGTTCTATATCAGAATTATCCGGTGTTGGCGATCACCATTGCGAAGGCTTCTAGATCTTCTGCCACATGGAATAATTGTCCTGCATTTGATGTCCGAGTCCACTCAAGATTGTTGTTTAACCAAGAAACCTGTTTTCTTCTTACACCTCTACGGTCTTCTATTTTGCCTTTAAAGATCAGTATTCTCTACCGATTTTCACGCACTATATGTCCCAGTTAAGACATTTTCCGGTGTCTAACAGTCTTTAGCAATTCTTTATATTTGTTGGCCCTACTTAGTAATTCCTCATTAGTTTTTCTTGCTGTCCAAGATATCTTTAGCATCCGTCTATTAATCGCCATTTCCATTTTTCTCTCCAGCTTAATCTTGCTCTGCCCTTCTTTTGTCTTCTCTGCGGTGCCCAGTTTAATACTTATTTTGGGATTTTGGTGTCATCCCGTAAGACTTACTCTATCTAATCTTGATTTATCGGCCTCTCTCCTCAAATCTATTTCTGTTGCTTCTAAAGCCTTTAGAGTTTTCTCTTTCAGTAGTTATATTTCGTTTCCAAATGTAACAATGCCTCTGGCAATGCTGTTATAAGTTCTATGTGTTCTTTTGAAATAATTCTAACCGACTGTATACTGTGCAGTTGTCGAATGAGTTGTCTTCTCTGATTATTTCTGTTTTTAATCTCCTCGTCTAAATTGCCGTCTTTAGTTATGTGTCTGCCTATACCAGGTGGTGAATCGTCAAACGGGCCATAGGAAACTCAATGGGAAATTTTAAATTGTTGAATTGCTGCTTCTCTAATTATTTTAGATCAAAAGTCGTAAAAAACTATTTGTAGAGGACTAAAATCTGAATTAAAAACAAATGTTAAAACCGTTCTACGAATCAAATGTACTTCAAAATTTTGCAAAAATATAATACATTTTTTAGGCCACCCCTAAAAGTTAGGCCACACGTAATGCAAGAATATATATTAGAACGTGTGTGTTTTATCATATTGATGTCAGATATTTGACAATTTGAATTGTCAATTTTTTTATTTTATGAATATTATAAACAATGAATTTTACTAAATACTACTACTAATGAACATTATTACTTTGTGAACAATAAATTATATTGTTTACAAATCGATCAATATAATGAAATGTACTCAGTTGACGAAAAATCGCATAATGTTGTATTCAGGCAATAGCGAACCTTTTTTCTGCCACTACCGGATCTTTATTTAACGTAAGATATTCTAATTCACTAAAATTTAATTCCATGTTAAGTTATACAACAATTCAATGAATTCCAATATACTGTTACTGTGATCTTTATTCCTAATAATAATATATGATAATTTCTAAACATAAAACTATAACAAATGTTATAATAAAACATGAATAAAACATTTTTATTATTGCTTTTTTCTCCTCAACTGAGTACATTTTTTAATCAACTTATTTTTTTTTTAACAATAAATCACAAAATTTTGGCCATTTAAATCATAGATAAATATAATATAATTGATTTAAATATTGTCAAATATCAGAAACAATAATATGACAAAACGCAACACGTAATACACATTTTTTCACAGAAAAATGTATTATATTTTAGCAAAATTTTGGAATACGTTTCAAAATAGTTTCCCATGACTTTTGGTGTAAAATAATTAGGGAAGCAGGAATTTAACAATTTAGAATTTCCCATTGAGTTTCCTATGGCCCGTTTGACGATTCACCACCCTGTACATAGATATTTATATTTTCTACAGTGATTTCTTAGTTGGTGTTGTTCTTCTAAAATTAGATTTTAGAAGAGCAGCATCAACAAGAGGGACAAATCCATTAATATTTGCGCTAACATTTTTCTTTTTTAGCTTACATAGCGAATTAGACAACGTACGGGACGGTGTCCTTAAAGTTGAGAGGGGACAAGCGACTGATTCTCTTAATTTGGAGAATAAGAGTGTGATAACTTCTCCGATCAGCCCTCAGGCACCGACGCAAAATAATAATAGTCGTATTAATACCAAAAAGGAACAAAGGAGTGGAAATACTTTGTACCAAGAATTAAGTTACCATGTAAGTATTGTACATTTTATATTGTTTTTTTTTTACATTAATTCATAACTCAGATCTAAAATTTTGTGTACCTATACTTTTTTTCTGGAAGTCGTCATATCGACGGTTCTGCATGTGATTTTATTATTGCTGAAAGTTATGCTTTTTAGCTTGTCTGTCAAATACCGGCGTAACATAATTTCCTCTATATTCATGGTTGCTTGCCTGCGAGTTCCTAAATTTACCATTCAGTAAAATTTTTTGTCAACAGTAACAGTATATGAAGCCTTGCTCTCTTTTCTTTTTACCTTATGTCTCTATCAAATGTCTTAAAGCAAAAGAAGGCATCTGTTATCGTCCTTTCCTGGCATAAACCCAACCTGTTCTCCTATCCATGTCTCTCTCCTTAACTTTCATCATCATCATCTTTAGCTTAACAATCCTCTGTATCGGTTTTCTGGCAACGTGTTCCCATCTTCTGATCTCTAGTGTCATTAAGTCGGTCACGACTTCATCTAACCACCTAATCCTCCTTCCTATAAGTGTTCCTGTCGTTAGCTTTTTAGCAATCATGTTGTCAGGCATTCGTATTGTGTCCGGCCCTAAGTCGCTGTGTTTTAATAAACGTTACGACATCTGATTCATTAAAGAGTTGGTATAATTTGAAGATCTATTGATTTGTTTAGAGCAGCAAGTTCTAAAATAAAAATAGCCATTATAAAAGCCAAGCTCCGTAGGGAAACGGCACTCTAAGAAGAAGATAATTTGAAATTAAATCTTTTGCGCCACTGCCCTTGATTTATAGCTCCAAATATTTGCGGAGTATCTTACGCTCGAATATTCTCAGAAGTTTTTCATCCTTCTGCGTTAGAGTCCATATTTCCGCCCCGTATGTGAGCACTGGCCTCAGCAGTGGTTTGTATATAATAATTTTAGTTTTTCTTTGGATATTTGTTGAGTGGATTTTTTTTAAGCCCATAGTTTGCTCTATGTGTAAGGTTTATTCGTCTTTTAATTTCTTCGCTTGTTTTATTGGTAGTAGTCACTAGTCATATATAAGGTATGTGAAGCTGTCAACAAGTTCAAAGATGTGACTTCCAAATGCTGTTTTCCGTTCCTCGTTTGGTATAGGATCCTTAATAACCAACATGTACTTGGTTTTGTCTTTGTTGATGACTAGACCGACCTGTTTCCAATTCTAGAAAATATTGCTCAATATTTCGTTTGCTACGCCCTATTTTGTCAATATCATCAAAGTATGCTAAGATTTATATCGATCTATTGTGAATAGTACCGCGTGTCTAATGCATGTGTCTCGGACTGCCTTTTCCAAGGCAATGTTAAATAGGAGGCAACCCAGGGCTCCTTAACTTTCACTCTACAGTTATATCCTCAATTTTCATCGTGTGCGACATTCTTTCTAAAGTACTCGGATTGTAAGACTCTTCCTCTTAATCTGCCGAACGTAAATCAAGTCCTTTGATGACGTGTCAATTGCTTTAGCAATATTGTATAATCTTTCCATCCCCTCGAGTGTTTCCAACAGTGCATACAGCTTTACAGACGATTTTTCCTTAGCAGCAGCTACAGCGCGCTTTGCTTCCCTCTTTGCTACCTAAGGGCGAGCGCCCACCAAAGTGGCGTGGCAGTGGCAAGTAGCAAGTAGCACGTGTCTAGCATAATGTAACCAATGAAAACGAATGATTCAGTTTACACCAAAATGACAGTGACGTCATTCATTCTAATCATTCGTTTGGATTCGTTACATTATGCTAGACGCGTGCTACTTGCTACTTGCCACTGCCACGCCACTTTGGTGGGCGCTCGCCCTTATATGTATCCTCAGATTTCTCTATTTTAAATCTCTTTCTAGAATATTTCTTCTCCTTAACCTTCTGTTGCACTTTATCGTTCCACCACCAAGTTTCTTTGTCACTAGGAGGCCCTTTACCCGATATTTTTCCTAGCACTTCCTCTCCCACTTGTATTACAACTTTCTGTTAGCTTCTCACCGATCATTTACCTTATGTTTTTCCTCAAAACTCGTCCAAAACTCTACTCGTGAAGATTTTTACCAAATCCTTTAATTTTCCACTTTACAGTGGATAATCTCTTTTAGCTGGCTTCTTTTACACAACACAAAATCTATCTGACTTTCCGTTCCCCGCTTCATCCCGTGCCACAATAATTTCTTTTTATGTTCGCTTTTCATTTTTTTTATTATAAATTTCGACTTCTTTTGGTTTTTATTTTTTTGTGTAAGTGATTTTAGTTAATTACATGAAACAACTAGTTAACTAGTAAACAATTACACTAGCGACTTCTAGTGTAATTGTTATAATTTATAAAATTAAGAAAATATCCACAAGGATTACAAAATTGTTCAAAATGTTTTCGGTCTTATCAGACCATCATCAGTGATACCTGAAAGAAAGTAAATCTACTTAAATTTAGTGATAAAAGAAGCAGAAGTTTGACTGTTAATATAAAACATGTAGTATAATTACTTACTCGAATTATTTGCACAAAGACACTTCTAAAACACTAATGTCGATGATTAAAGATTTATCCAAAATTTATCATACTCAGTTCTTAGCCGAAATGGCGACCACGTGTGGGTCAAGCCAAAGTTACCAGCCGACTGAGTGGGAAGATCAGGCAGTTATATCAATTAAGCTGTGAAGTGAAAATATCCAATAATCCTTTTGGATGTTTTCATAATTTTATTTATTTTATAAATTATACCAATTGCACTAGAAGTTTCACACTTCATTGTGAGTTAACTATGGTATACAGCCAACCACTGGGAATTTTTCCTTTATAAGTTAAAAATTATTTTGTTAATTTTTAGGATGTAGATGCTGATGACGATGGTGGTGATATTACAGGTAATCTTAATATATCTTATTACACTTCTTTATAATCATTAAATACTATTATAATAAATCACGAAAGTAGAAATCCAAAGATTTCTATTGACGAAACCAAAATCCAGATTTTTTCTTTAATCTGTTTCTTCTAAGAATTGTAAGTTAAAACAAACGATGCTAAAGGATGTAAAGATAGAAAATGGTCAATCTAATAACTGCATTCGCGAATTAGTTTCTTGTAATCATTAAGAGTATATTGAAATAAAAGAGACATTTAAGATTTGATTTCATGACTCATCAGAGCGACTGTTACAGAACTTCTGTAACCGTCGCTCTGGTGAGTCCTGTTAGGATGAAATACGTATAAGCGAATATATAGAGGCACTATACGTGCAATCAAATCTTAACTGTCTTTCTTCTAATATTAAAATACTTAATGACAACTTTTACTGAATGACAAAATGATTCAATAACTCAATTAGAGGTAATGGATTTTCTAGAGCTATGACATTGTAAATAGTTGCGTAGATCTAATTGGCAACGATGCACTGGAAGGTTAAAATGAAAACTGAACGTCCGACACATTTAAAACGCCGTCTACACTCTCGATTGAAGTTCTTCGAACGAAGTGTAGAAGTAAAGTTAATCGAGGAGACGAGGTGACTCTCCACATACGCGTTGCATTGCCGAAAAAACTCAGTCGGTGTCGATAGGCAGGCTTTATTGTACTAGCAATGATATCGAATAAAGTAAAGTCGAGTAATGTAGTGTGACACTTCGTATTCGAACTTCGGACCCTTTGACTAGGACGCGAAAAACCGACACAGAACGGATGTAGAACGAGGCGAAGTGAAATCGCATGAAGTACCTGTCTACACTCTCGTACTTGTTGAACTTCGACCAACTTCGCGAGTAGTACAGTGGCCACTTAAGATTTCGTATGATAGCCCAGGCGAAGTGGGTTAAAATTGTGTTCATACATTAAATATAAAATTATAAATTTAAGATATCTAATAAATATAGGTAAACTTCTGTTTAATTGTAAATCTTAATGTTTAATAATCTGTCAATTATTCAAGTCTAATGCCCCCATTGCAAACAAATTAGAATATTACTAATATTTGAATGGCAATGTAAAATTAGCTCGAGACAACTTGTGGGCATTTGAGAAAAATAATTTGATGCAATTAAAGATCATTTAGCAGTTTAGGACTTAATTAAATTAATATTACAATATTACATCTGTACAATATTAATATGTTCTCTTTCTACATATTCAGTTTCTACTTTTGTGACATTAGCGCAAATGTTTTTTCCAATTTTCTAAAGTAACTTCACTAAATTTGTTTTCGGTTAATTTCCATACATCATCAAATTTAAAAAGTTACGTAGCAGGCAGCAACTTTGTTTTTTACCAATGCCCATATTTTTTCAATAGGATTTAGCTCCGGATGATAGGGTGGTAGACGCAACGTGAATATATCATGTTCCGCTAGAATTTTATTAATTAAATATGTTGGACAAAGTGGCTTATGCATTTTTAGAATTGTAAATAAATCGACCTTAGTTGCATGTGCCGGATGAAAAATATTTCTTTAAGCCTTTTAAGCTTTCAAGCCACTTCAACAGTGCCTCTTTCTTCCAGGAAAACTTGAAATGGGTTCTAGGAGTACATTATGATAAGAGCCATTGTCTATTACCAGTATGCTTTATTTCGGAGCATTAGGGATGAATTTTTCTTCATTTAGTCGTGGTAGTCTCTTTGTCCCCGATTTAAAAATGTTAAATGCTCCAGGCACGAATCACCCCCAGCATGAACAATAATAATTGACCTTTAGCTACAGGAGATTTTAAACATTTATTTTGACCATCTGCCATGCTTTTCGTACGGAATGTAAACCATGAATATATGTCTCATAACAATATATAATCGAACTTCCTCGTCTTTGTAGTTTTTAAGATTTCTTTAACATTCAATTCTTTTTTATTTTATATCATATATCTGCATTTTTCTTTTTTTGTTATCTACAGTTTTTCTCCATCTAAATCGTATTTTTTACCTTCTTTTTTAAACTAGTCCATTTTGCCACTAATGTTTATCCTTCTTCATTCTTTACTTCTTCAAAAATTCTTTTCATTGTAGGCCTTTTTGTGGATTGCAGTATAAGAACAAAAAATTCTTCGAATTATTTCCTCTTCAAACTCGTTAACGGACCCTTTGGAAGTTGAAGGTTTTTTAATAGTTTTTCGAGGTGATTTAAAGCGTTCACCAGACGATTTTTTATGATTTTTTAACAATACGTTTCACCTTGTTGGCAGAAACATCCCAAGCTTTGGTCACTCTTTCCTGCAAATTTCTTATGGGGATAGTTAGGGATTCTTGTTCCTTTTCTTTTTCATAAACTGATATACACTGTATATAATTTGTGGACCTTGGCTATGAATAACTATTCTGGAACTACTCATAATTTCACGTATTTGCTGTAACAACAAAAATTAAAAGTTAGGTAACAAAAAGACTTCCTCAGTAAAGCTATAATTTTTTTGATCAGATTTTATATACTTCCCATTTAAAAGCAACATTTTTTATTATTAAAGCTAACAAAATACCATAAATCAAATTTTGAATTATTAAAAATGTAATAAAATAAATACAAACATTACTTCCCAATAAATTATTTCACTGCACAAAATATTTTCAAAAATTGTTGTATATAAAAGCCACTAAATTGACAATTAAAATTAAAAACTATAATAATTAATTAAAAAAGAAACAAATTTTATTGCTTTTTTGGATTAGAAACAACCTGAACGAAAAACTGCCAAGGAATGAAGTTTAAGCTGAAACTTTTAGGATGATTAGTACAACTTGTTTTAGACGAAAACTTGTGTTCATATGGCCCATAGCTCTTTAGAAAATCCAATCTCTCTACTTCTACTACTACTTGAATTGCCAATTTCCTCTGTTTATATACATTTTCTGACGTTCTATACCTTACGAGACCGTCTGGAATTTTTTGATGACATTCTAGATCTTTTTTAATACTCCTTCTTTTTTGACAAGGAACTTTTTCTTTATGGTATAAATCTTACCGAATTGTTGTAACAATATTAATATAAATTCATATAGAATTTTTTATATAAAAATGATTGCACGTCATTCAAGATTTACGAACCCCACAGCGTTGCCAAAACATCAGAATAGCTAGTAAGTAAGGAATTTTTAAAATGTCAACTGTAACACATTAAAATACATAAGAAAACATTTTAATACAAAATTATACATTCTAAATTTTAAACTTACCTCTTTTAGAGCATTAATAGTAAAAACATCTCGCCATTATTTCTTTTTTAAAATAATCTATCTTATATGAAAGCTTATCAGCCTTCTACTCAGCTTTTAAAGCTGTTAATCTAAGAAACCGGCAACACTTTAAACAATTTTGCCACACGCTGAACTGTCAATAAAATTTGAAGTATTCCCGAATCAGTTGCGTACAATTGTCTAATATATTTAATTAAAATAATTAATTTGTGGAATATTAGACTGAAAGAGTTATTTCATAAAATTTATATTATTTATAACAAATATTTTTGGTTATTTAATCAATATATTTAATCAAAATTTGAACTCTAAGGTTGACGTTCTGGAAATTTTAAATATAAGTGACGTCACTTTATATAAATTGTGACGTGCAACGTTTTTACTTTGAAAAATGGTATATAAACAGAAACGTATAGCAACTCAATTAAGGGAGCTTTACATCTAGGCTATGCAAGTCTCATGCTATGCAAGTCCGTCTTGCATGGCACATCTCTTGCCTAGCTTGACCTTTTTACATCAGAGATATTTCTGTGCAATTTTAGATCCCACTTTCATTGTTGCCAACAGAGAAAATATTTATCAATTTGAGGTTATTTTATTTTAAATAAAAAATATAAAATAAATAATATAATAAATAAATATACACTATTTATGGTTATTAAAAGGGTGAAGGATGTCAACCAAAGAAAAGAAAACATTGTTATTGTTGAATATTGCTGTTGTAGCAACAATCATACATAGTCAACGACTCACCCAGTCGTTTTTACATTAACTTTAGACATAGTATATCTATTTATCACCACTTAATAAACTTAATTTAAATCAAAACACAACAATACACATGTGGGTTAAGGGACGCTAAAGATAGAGATAAGGTTATGGTTTATTCTGTAATCTATTATAAATTGTTATGTTGGCAACATGAATTTTAACGATAAATTGCAAGAAAATTGCATGAAAAATAGAACATGTTCTAATTTTTCGTCTAGCACAGGAATTGCATGGAAATAGCCCGTGGGCATGCGCAGTTCCATGATCTGTCTTGCATGGCTCTTGCCTAGCATGAAAATAGCATAATGTAAAACTGTCTTTAAAACTAAAACAATTTTACGAAAACTATATGTCTTGCAAATGAACTATATTAGCATATTATTTTTTAGGTGGATGGGTTCATCCAGGAGAATATGCATCGTCAGGTAAGATAAATGTATATATCTATAATATACAAATGTACATAGGTAGGTAATTTTTAGTGGCCCTTTTCCTTCCTAAAGCATTAATGCTTGCATTTAAACGTCTGTAATATGCTTGCTTTAACTAAGTCAAAATTGTAGTTTGTTTATTTTACGTTACCATTAATTTTCTTTGTCTTCTAGTAATCGTCCCTCATAGAATAAGTAATTTTTATTCTCAGAATGACTGTGTTACTCTTTACGATGATAAGTAGTTAAAAAGCAGTAAAAAGTCTTTGAAAATAATATAAACTATAGTCTATACAATGGGAGACAAATATATTGAACGTTAGAGTTATGCTTAATATTGTTCGTGTCACAGTTCAATCCCCTTAGTCTTTCAAGGTAATTTTTTGATGTTCTTCGGATTTCTTCCTGTACCAAAGCTGAGTCATCGTGTAGGGTTTTATTGTTTACAAACCAGTGAGCATTATGTTTCTCTTGTTTGATGCTTTGAGCAACCCCAAAGCTGGATACCATAGGTCCAAATCGGTTTTATTATACATTTGTACAGGAGCAGCTTATTTTCTATGGCCAGTTTTGATTTTAGACCTATGAGCCAGCTCATTTCTCATATTTTAATGTTAATCTCGGTTTTCTTGGCCTGGATGTGATGTATCCATGTTGACTCTCTGGTCGAGAGTTACTCCTAAATATTGAATTTGAGTGATGAATGGTATATGCGTGCCATTTACTATTGTTGTTGGGCATTCATCTCTTCAATTTGTGAAAGTGACTTGAGTTAACTTTTTCATTTAATTTCACTTTCTATTAGATGAGCCACATTTCTATCTGGTTAAGGTGGTTTTATAGATTTGTCGATGCAGTGATAGAGTCCTCGTTGATAGCGATTGCGCTGATGTCATCGGAAAATGTTTTTCCGATGACATCATTTCAGATTTCTGTTGTATTTGTGGTTGGGAGTGTCCGCAGTAAATATCAGGCAACGAAGAGGAAGTAGCCCACTACCATGTGGCACCCCCGATTTAATGGCAAAGTATGTGAAAGTCCCTGTGTTATATTTTACTTGATTGGATTTTATAATGGAGTTGGAACAACGCTTTTAAATTTGTATAAGAAACTATTTGAATTTGTTGTGTTGTAGAATTTCTCACACACTAAGAAAACGCTAAGGTTCATTTTGGTTATTTTTGAAAGACCGAAGATCAAGAAGTAAATATTGATGGGTTGGAGGTTCGAGGGTGGATAACTAAAGGGATCTTAGGCATTTGGTACACAAATGGCTTAATCTATGTGAGGGTGCGATGGATTGTTGAAAAGGGAAGGAGGCGGGAGATGCAAATGGCATAAAAAAATCAAATATGGTAGCTGTAACAAAAGGACATTAGGGTGCTAATTTCTAAACAGCTTGACCTACAGAGTCATCTAAAGTGTCAAGTAATAAGGTTTAATGAATAGAATAAAACGATATAGAAAAATCAAAGATATCAGTATGCAATAAGGGAAATATGCGCGCATCTTTGTCTCTGTTTGTCCCGATGGACGTGGTAGGGTTTAACGAATACAATGGAATGGTATTGAAAAATATACAAGGCGTTATGCAAAAGAAGCTTAAGTATGTAGCATCCAAACGGCTTAACATAGAAGGATATATGATGGGCCATTGCTAAAGGTGAACGCAAAAGGAGACCTGATAGATGGATTGTCAAAACCTCCCATGCCAGTCCCATTATACGGTTCCATTGACGCACGGTTTTACCTTTTGCTTCTCGACATAGACATCCCATTCTATCATACTCATCTTCACATATCTTTCTTTCTTTCATTATATCCACCCTAGAAAACATCTACTCTTTGACATACAACTTTTATTGCTTACGTTATTTCCCCAGGTACAAATCATCTATGGAATACATTTATTATTTGTCATTTTCGCTAAATTTTCTCTCGATGTACAAACAATCATTTTTTAGATACAGGTAGCTACCAATCTGTCACTAATACCAATAAAGCTGCTATATATAGATCACCCGTTCTTATAAAGCTGATAAGTTCTTTCACTATTATTTAATGTATGTCTTATCGCTGGATCATAGATATTCTTTCTTTAAAAGCTCCATGACACATGACACCTCACGTGTCACGATCGGACCAATATCAATGGAGATACACGAATCCACACACGACAAAGAAGAATAATGATCCTTTGGCGACACGTTCACAGCTACTATGGTCCTAACTAATGCAGATCCTATGCTTACCGACATTGGCGTCATTTCTGTCTCGCTCAAACTCTGCTATAAACTTATGATGCAAGCACTTTTGACAACCAGATATTGGCTTGATTACGATTGTTAGTAATAATAAAATAGAAATAGAAAGTAAACCGAAAATGCCTTAAAGATTTCTTAAAAGTTTTCGAATGAATGAAAATATTAGGTAATTTTTTATTTGGAAAGTAACTGATTCATGTTCTAATCAATTTTCATTCTTTGTTAAAAGATTATCGCATGACATTGCTTGACATAATGCTCTCTAAGCTTCTATAATATACCATCTAAGTATAGACTCCTAAAAAGTCCTACTGTAAAGTTTATTTAATATAAAAATTTAACATTTTAACTCCTGCATTATCCTAAACATTTCATTAATATCTTAAATGCTTAATAATTGTACAAATGTCTATTTTTGTAAGTATAAGTATTAGCGATGCTCATTTATTACTAACGCTTTTTTGTTTCATTTAACCATTTACTTGGACAGTCAACGATAATTTTTATGGTAAGTAGATTATCAAAATCTAATATTGTTTCACACTTACCTTAAAAGAGATTGGCCATGTAACAAATATTATCTTTAAAATCTTATAAAGTGACGTTAATATTCTCTGTCAAAAACGAGGGTGGTTTGATATTTTTCATTAGTATTCTGCCTTTATTATTCATGGCCAAACTTTTGACCACGCACACGTAGAATATAGAAACAATAAACATATAAAATAGATTATTATCGATTGTATTAAAACCAATACCTTTATCCGAAATTTTAATAACATATCTTTTTATTTTTAGAAGTTCTCTGGAAAGTGTTTTGTACTTTTTATTAAATGCAAATCAGACTCTATATCCATAATTTCATTTTTTTAGGTATGGGAAAAGAAGTAGAAAATCTTATAATGGAAAATAATGAGCTACTTGCAACAAAGTTAGTACATTTTTTATTTCTAAAACAATTTAATTTAACTCATGACTATAACAGTCATTATAAGGATATCTTAAAATATATATTTATACTAACAGCATTGTTCACGTATTTCAGTCTGAGGCTTTTTGTAGAAGACCGTTTTTGGCAGGTCAACGGACTGTGATTTTTATCGGGCGCACATTTTTTTACTCTGTAATATATGTGTGTAGTACACCAATTTTCACCGGATGCGTTTCCGTCTGTTTAACTAAAATTTAAAATAAAAAATAAATTAATATTAATAATTATTGAGTATAAAATTGTTGTTAACTCTTACCAGACTTTGGTGTTTACCAATATATTTCACCGTGAAGGAGCGCTTAAGAAGAAAAATAAAATAACAATTTGCGGAATCGATGCAAATGTGGGAAAGGATTTGAAAGGTTTATTGTCATTTTTGGTATTTTCGCTCTGACATCTACCCCAACGTGATTTTACTTTTAAAATAAAAAAAAAATTCATACACGGGGTGCGGTATCAATCCGCTTCTAAGGTATGAATCGAAAACTGTATTAACACTTTTTGCTATTTTAATAAGAATAACTGCCCCGGCGCTACTGAAATCGATATATTTTTAATTTCGGGCCAACCCACTGCCTAAGGTTGCAACCAATCAGTTATAACCTGTCATAGGAGTCCACCCTCACTCTCCCACTAAATTTCTTTTCGAAGTAGGTATTTCTATTTACTATTCAGTATTGTTTCGATAATCGGTGGGTTTAGTACCGTTTAGAGTTTCCTAAAAATGCTTTACCTACATATGAAGATACAATGAAGCTTTATATTAGTATCTCAAAGCTGTAAAAAATAGTATAACAACCACAATTGAACACTTAAATGGCACTACAAATGAGCCAAAAGGTTTCACAGATCCCATTGGCAAGGCAGTTATGAACTGTGAAGTATTACCAGTTGTTCAGTTTGATGCGATTAAATGTTCATTACCCGATAAAACCAAATCGACACAACAATTAAGCATCATGGTTGACAATGGCGAATCGGATATTGAGATTATATGTCTCAATTCAAACTCCATCAGAAAACCTAATTATACTTAGCACATTTATTTTAATGGTATATGCTCCTATGTGGTTCAGAATCAACACTTTTCCAATTTGTATTTTTTGTGCCAAACATTTATATGATACGATAAAACTGTCGCGCTATTTGCCAAACCATTTGAAGAATGTTATTGAACCAGTCATACAGAGAAATGCATTCTTTTTACCTTCAGAGAATTTACTACTATGAATGTTAGCCAACAACAGACAGTACGTCAGAGAACTTGCACTACGCAGAATATTAAAGATCAGAGAGACTTCAGACATAGGAGTCTTACGTATTTTTCAAGTACCTACTTTAAATATGGATACTAATGATTATATATCGCGATATGATAGATTGGAAAACAAAGACAGAACCCCCACGTAAGAAGAATATCAGTACTCAAATAATATCTCAGTCCATCATAGAGCCAAGAGCGGACTAAGACCTAGGCACGTGCCTAGGGCCCGTAATTTTGGGACCCGAGAATAAGAATTTTAATGTTTTCATTTTTATAATTCATTTTTATTTAACAGAAAAACGTGATATTCATAATTATTGCTGAAACGTATCCAAATTATGCCGAATCGTTGATTGCCTTTACGAAAAAAAAATATACATGGATATTACATTGATACTCTGCCAAGACAGGAAAGGAAACTCAATGCTTATTATACACAACATCCTATGACATAAATTAGTTTGTTTTTATAGTATGTAATATTCCTGTTCTGGATTTTTTTACATAGGTACGTGCCAATATGATAAAATATATTAATGCTGTGTGGGCGATATCGATTTTTATTATTTATTGTATAAATGTCTAAAATGTGTCTTTTTAACAGTACAGTAATCAGTCATTCTCAATCAGTGTGTCCTGAACTTTAGATATTGTGAATTTTTACTGAAAATTGTGTAATAAAGACCTAAGTACATAGACTTAAATGCAAATAGATTGTTTCGGATTTATAGTTAATACCTTCCGGAATTCCTAAAATAAAAATGTAAGATTTTATAAAAGTATTACACTATTTAATTAAATTAATATACAGTGTGTCTATTTAACTTAAAGCAATATGCGAAACTGTTTTTATTAACAATTAAATAAAAAGTTATTCTTTATACAAATCTCTGCATGGTTTAAAACCGTCAACATTTGTAAGTATACTTTTTCATATTGACTATTTTTTGTTTTTTCTTAACATTATAGTCCCAATAGTTTAAATGAAAGAATAAAAAACATTATTGTTGACTATCAATTTTTTTCTTGAATACTTGAAACCGGCCAAATCATCAAAATTTTTCCAGTTTCAATTTTGACAACTGCCCCAGTTTTGGGGCAGTTGTCAAAATGAAAATAATAAAAATTGTCTCAAAGGTTTTTGATTAGTATCTTAGCGAAGCAGCTCTCCTGTGGCTTGCACAGATGTTCCTAAAAATTATTTTTTTTAGAAAATTACAAAATTTCAATCACGATGGGGCAGACTGAAAATACTCACAAATGCCGTCTAAGTTTTTCATTCGAAAATGGAATGGAATGGAGCATCAATTCCATATCCCGCGAAAATGAAATTCGAAAAAATAAATTTGAGCTCCACCCCCTAATGTACATGCAGTGTTCTTATATCATTTGACAATAAAATTATTATACGAGTTTTAAATAAATTACGAATGTATTACATCCATTCACTATTGTTTTTTCTAGGAATGCTTTGAACGTTGTCAAGGATGATCTGATAGTAAAAGTAGACGAGTTAACTGGAGAAATTGACATGTTGCGGGAAGAAATTTTATCTTTGAACGTTTCTAGAACTAAACTGAAAGAAAGGATTAGCGATCTAGAAGATGAATTAAAGAAAGTCAAAGAAGCTAATGAAGCTAAGCAAGAAGCTGACGAAGAAGCCGACGTACCTATGGCTCAAAGGAAGAGATTTACTAGGGTCGAAATGGCTAGAGTTCTTATGGAACGTAATCAATATAAGGTACATACTTTTTTATTTAGTATTTTTAATATTTTCATTTTAATATTTTTATTTTTGAATAATTCTATTTAGTACCTTTTATCTAATATTCTTGATCTTTACCATCTTTTCCTAGCTCTTCTCTTCTTAATTAATAGTTCTATGTGTAATGGGAACTTCTTTGCTTTGTTTTTGAGCTGTTTGATATCTGGAGTTGCTATCTATGCAACATTCTGTATAGAGACTGTGAGGTATTGGACATCAGCTTCTATATCAGCTGGTTCCATTAACTTTACGTATTCTTGTCTTCTTACTTCTGTCTCCGTTATTTTCTCGTACCCGTTAAAGTTTAAATTCATTCTGTAATCCGGCTTCTAAATTTTTGATAAAATTCGTGACAGTCAGATGCATCAATTCCCTAATATTCTTTAGTTTTTCTTCTGAAATTGGTTTTCCGTTTGGTCATAACTTAATGAGATCTAAAAATACTTCATTTTATGAGGGGCAATTTCTTTTGGTTTCTTTTTTATGTCAATCTCTTGAAATGGAGCTTCAAAAGAAGAATTATCAGGGCAAAGGGTTTATTTTTTTCTATTCGAATATGAAGCCAGTTAATTTTGGTACCGTCAGTAGCTATTTTTCGGTTAACAATGTTTTTTCGACATTTTTTATGCCATAAAACTCAATTGATCTTATCTCAGTAACAACAAACGGCTTTTTCGTTCGGCAGCTACGCATAACGTTAATGTATTCCTCTGGTGTGTAAAGTCTCTGGTGCGTAGGGCTGATTCTATAGCAGCAAAATCCGAATCATTTGGTAAGAAGCTGTGTCCTGAATATAAAAATTTTAGTATTATATCTTCCAGTTCAGGTGTACTGTGTAAAATATATTTTAGAGATATATTAAGAAATAAGATTAAGCTTAATATAAGATGACGAACATTCGGCAACAAGTTACTTTTTACACGTTTAAGGATACAAGAACTTACTTCCTGAGCACCTCGTCCTTTCCCTATCGTCCTTTCCACTATGTATGCCAGCATTATAAACCCATAGCTGACGTTTATAAAAAACTATGTCTGTCGGGATTCTTGGCAGAGGAAAAGTCTTTTCTAGATCAAACGTAAGACATTCCGTGTGATCATTATTTTTGGCTAATAAAAAATCTTCTCTTCTTAATCTGTGCGTTTTCGGCAATCTCAAGGTGTTTGTTGTGCTTTTTTGTAGTTCTTTTTTTTATCTGGGTCGGTTTCATTATCTGCTCGAATTTTAAGACTATCCCCCTTTTTCCCTTTTTTTTTTTTAAATCTCTTCCATATGTGCGTTTTTTGGGTAATTATTGAACTCCTGAACTTGACATTCATGCGATTTTAAAGAATTCTTTAGGTACCGTCTCCTCTAAGGAGGTTGGTAATCATCACAGCTATTTTCACTTTTGAGAATGCAGCTCTGAACAAGTTGACGGAACTGCAATTATACCACTTTCTCAGATTATTGAGCCAGGAGATGCGTCTTCTTCCAATACTTCATTTTCCCTGCATTTTGGTTTGTAGCAACACATATTTATCCCCTCTCATAACGTGGCCGAGATATTGTAACTTTCTTATCTTAATCGTATTCATGATTTCCATTTCCTTTGTCATCTTTCTGAGGACCTCAACATTTGTTTGCTCAGTCTACCCAACTTATTTTTAATATTCTTCGCTAGGTCCACATCTCGAATGCTCCAAGTCGATCTCTCACCTCTTTCTTTAAGATCCAGGCCTCCACCCCATACAGCAGCAAAGAAAACACATATGCACGTAATATTCTTATTTTGAGTTGCAAACTAAGGTCTCTACTGCATAATACTTTACTCATCTTATTAAATGTTGCTCTAGCTTGTCCAATTCTCATTTTTATTTCTTCTGTGTTATTTCCATTAATAATTGTACCAAGATATCTGTATTTTTTTACTTTTTCTATAAGAACCCCTCTTATGTTTAAAATGTCTTGTTGTGTTTTGGAAATTGTCATAAATTTTGTTTTTTTAGCATTAAGCGTGATGAGTCTGCCGTTGAATTATACCAATTGTTACATTTTCGAGTGATTTTTAAGTATTTCTTCCGAATATAGATCGAACAATAAGGGGGAGAGTATGCAACCTTGCCTTATGCCTCTTTTTATCTCTACTTCCTCCGAAAGTTTTTGCCTACTCTGACTTTTGCTGTTTTGTTTAAAGTAGAGATCATTCGAAATCAATTAGAGATGAGTTATTATTCTTAAGTCTTTTTTGTCAATGTGTTTATCTTTTGGTAACTGTATAAAACGGTTATGTCGAACCTTATCGAACGCCTTATTGTAATCAATAAAACAAACATAGAATGGTTGGTTTATATCCATACATCTTTGCATGAGGACGTTAAATCCAAATAATGCCTCTCGTGTACCCATGGCATTCCTAAATCCAAATTGGGTTTCAGTGATGTCTTGTTCCACTTTTCTGAAAATTCTTAAATGTAAAATTTTTAAGAATATTTTTAGTGCGTGACTCATTAGACTACTTATATGGTGGTTATTACATTCCCTTGCATTAAGTTTTTTTATAATAATTAATGTAATAAATGTTGATTTGAGCCAATCTCACAGAATAATACCTGTATTATATTTAGTACTATATAAGTCTACTAATACATTGATCTGATCTTCTGATATTAATTTAATTATTTCAGTTGGAATTGTGTCAGGCCCCGCAGTTTTATTAGTTTTTGGCAGTTTTATTGCATGTATTATTTCAACCTTAGTTATATTTGGACTTATATTATGTTCCTCGCAATCGTTCATGCTACCTTGTTGTGTTCTGTCATTCTCAAACAATTCTTGGGCGTGTTCTCTCCATCTGTTTGCCTTTGATATCAGATATTATTTTACCATTCGTATCAACCAGAGTGTCTTATACCTGCTAATTCTTTAATTTTTTTGTGCAATTCAAAACTATCATGATTTCTCTGGAGTTCTGCTATCTCTAAACATTTGTCGTTGTACCACTTGTGTTTAGCTGCCCGTATCTATTCATATCGTTCTTCTAGCTTCTCACAATCTTCTCCATGGTGTTCTGCATTTGCAGCCACTACCTCTTTTTATCTTTAGCTAAATGAAGTAAAATATTTACAAAAAAAGAAGTTGAAACCTAACTAGGACAGCCGACAGGTAAAACAAGTCAATGAATCATATCATTTTTTAATAGGACTATACCAGACTTACCTTGATTTTGATTTTAGTAGTTTACACAAAACTAATTGGTTTTTAACACCAAAAAACGCAATGATGTGATTATTTTATCTGATTAAAACTTTATTAAGTAAAGGAATCAACCTGCCGCTTTGTAAACGTAAACAAACAGATAAAATTTTCATAACCTCTATGTGGTAGTTTCTGATTTTGCAGAATCCTACCAACCTTTAAGAAATTCGTACACTTTTTAAAACAAATCATTGCAGAAAGCTACCAACCCACTAGGTTGGACTAAAAACTCTGTGATTTACCAACCAAGTGGGCTGGTAGCCTTTTGCAAAATGGATATATAAATATATTTCCATGTGCAAGGTAAATAAGAGGGTTGATAGGTATTTGCATAATATAAATTGTTTAATGCTAGATCGATCACTTGGTAGCTTAGGGATTATAAGACAACAGAAAGCTATTTTGGGAAAGTAGATTCTTGCAAATCATAGTATTGACGATAAAAGCCGTTTTATGAGGGTTATTCAAAAATTTTAATTTTGTGGATTGGTAGGTTTTTGCATAACTACGTCCAATTGTGACATCTATAAATGTGATCTGTAAAGGCTATTTTATGTTTTTAATGGTGTCGAAATATTCAGAGATTATATAATGTTTGACACGATTTTAGGAACGTTTTATGGAACTTCAAGAAGCCGTTCGTTGGACTGAAATGTTGCGAGCGTCCAAAAGCGATGCGCCGTTCGAGAAAAATAGTAACAAGAGCATTTGGAAGTTTTTTAGTAATCTCTTTTCGGGAAACGAGCGAGTTCAGAGGCCGATGGTAGTACCTCATCTGAGGTATCAAACGACAACCAATCAAGTGACGCCTGGAATCAAAGCCCTCCCTAGGATCACTCACCACGACCTCATCGAAACAGAGATTGGTACGGAATTATGATTAAACTCGTAGTTGTATGGTTTGTACCTGCTGTCAATTTTTGGTCTGTGATATATTTAAATGATTCTGGAGAAAAATATTTTGTCGAAAATTGGTACCAAATTGTTTTAGTTGTTTTGTTTTTTGATTAACCGAAACGAATATTATAAAATATAGGTTTACCAGTTATTATATTAATTTTAATTGTGTCGAATACGTTAAAACTTTTAAAAAATTATGAAATCTCATAAATAATCTAATCAATTAATGATGAAAATATTTACGTATAGATTTAATTATTTATTACGAATTAAATGTTAAAATTTTTTTTAAGATTTTTTTTTTGCGTGTAATTTACCACATACTTTATCGTATACCACACTTAAATCATACAAAAATTTCTTTTTTTTTTTAATATTTCAATTAGTTTTCAGTTTTTTCTTCTTGTTTTTTTTTTACTGTATCATATCAGTTTTCAAATCCATAGAATAGGAACGAAGTAATTATTTTATGTAAATATGTACCGAACAAAATTCAAAATTTGTTTTGTAGTTTTTTTACTAAATCCTGGCAGGTATTTCGGAGCACCAAATATTGATAAGCTTGGTACGCACGATCGCGCCATCTCGATATCGGTATTATTCGGGGTGAAATGTCAGTCAAATTTATATCACATTTAGTATTTTTCGAAATTTAGATGCTCTTTACTAGGTCGATATCAGAGCGGAGCGGGAGCGATGGTGTGTACAAAGCAATAAATTATTTCAATATTTGTACAACATTGTACAATATTGAGAACCATTTCTCAGTTTCGACTTAAATTCAACCACAATTTTAGTTTAAGTGTACTTTATGTACAATTGTTCCGTTATTATTGTGGATAATTCTGTGAATCCACTACTTTCAGATATTTTTACAAAAATAGACAATGTTCACAGCATCCAGCTTTGAAAAAAATTTCAACAATGATTTAAATCTACGGGGTGTGCTAAAAAAATACATGACGGTCAAGTATTTCGCGAAATTTACATCAGATCGAAACAGACGTTCAGAACTTTTTCACTATTTTCAAAAATCTATCGAATGAGACCAAATACGACCACCCAGTTCCAGTAAGAAGGGGGGCATCTTTAAAATCTTAAATGGGAACCCCTTGAAAAGTAAATAACTTTTAACAACACTAGGAATTCCAAGATTCCCTACTTGGCGAAACTTAAATCTAATACCGTCTTTCTGTTTAAATAACTATTTTTTTGAAACGTTTTTGTCGAATTGTTGGTAGATGTCGCGATAATATGGTATAAGTCTAATACCTCGACAAATGCACTTCTAAGTGGACAACCAAAAAACTGTTTTTAATTTTTTTAAAAATTTATCGAATGACATTAAACATGACCCACTACCCTAGGAGGTGGGGCGGGGAGCGACTTTAAAATCTTAAATGGAAACATTTTTTATTGCAAATTCGGATAGTACGTGCAACAGTAAACAAGTTTTATCTGATTTTTTCATTTGTAAAAGATGGCGCTATAATCGCAGAATAAATAACAAATCAGAAGTCGGTATAACGAATCAGAGGTCAATACAGTATCAGAAGTCTTCAAACTAGTTTTTATGGTACTGAATACAGTTTTTTTACGTAGAATCTGAACCTGCAATAAAAAAGGGAGATTTCTATTTAGAATTTCAAAGTTGGCCCCCGCCCCTGCCACAGTGTTTAATATGTAATATACACATGTTTTTTAGTTTTATATTTAACAGTGTATTTTTCGAGCTATTAGACCGTTTTCATAATTTTCGTATCACGATAAATCTTTTCCCGATTATAGCTGCCCCTATCAACAATTCGTAAACATTTTTCGAATACAACTTAATTTTTTCATTAGATATCCAAATCGGCAATGAAAAAATAACAGTAAAAAATAGCAAAAGTAAAGTAAAAAAGCAAACTTGAATCAAAAATGGAGATTCCTATTTAAGATTTTTTGGTTTTTAAGTTGCCCCCGATCCCACCCATAGCAGGTCGGTCTGAAGGGCTTCCCGTCAATCATAGGAATTGTCAAACGGGCTATAGGAAACTCAATGGGAAATTCTAAATTGTTAAATTCCTGCTTCTTTAATTATTTTAAGTCAAAAGTCATAGGAAACTATTTGTAGAGGACTGAAATCTGTATTAAAAACAAATGTTAAAATTGTTTTACGAACGTATCTAAACGTATCTTTCGATCTCGGAGACCACTTATTGTTAAAGTTAGGTCCTGATATCCTGAATTTATTGTCCTGAATCAAACAATAATGAAAGCTGTTTTTAAGGAATTCCTTAACTTCCCAGTTATTGTGTGCAGGGCATCCATCCATTCGAAACCAAATTTCTTCTTCATCTGAAGCTATTTCTGCAAGCTTCGGTAAAATCTCTTCTTGTAGCAAGTCTAAAAACTCTTTTGAATTTAAATTTTTATGGTCCTCATAGAAAATGATCCAATAATATTGTGTCTAAATATTCCTAACCAGACATTTTTTTTTTTGACGATAATGGCTTTCAAAAATATCATCAGCCTTTCTTGTCGTCCAAATCCTATAATTTTGAACATTGGGTTCATTATTTAATGTAAATGTACATTCATCAAAAAAACAAAAATTAAAGAAAAAATTGTCTGCATTAGCCCTCTCCAAAATTTCATAACAAAATTCCGCTCATCTCTAAGCATCTCCTTCTCTTAGTTCTTGATAACATTGAAATTTATATGAACGGAATTTATTCCTTTTCAAAAATTTTAAGGCCGTAGCATTATGAATATTAAACTGGTCTGCAATAGTCCGAGAAATTATAGAACCTAAGGTCTTTTAAACCTTAGATTTTCTACTATAGTAAAATTCATTAAGCGGTGCAGGAAAATATAAACATTAAATCGTGTCCGAACTGGTATGAACCGCCGATAACATCGCCAGACGAAATAAAGATGGACATTCCGGTTAGTTTTTTAAATATTTTTGAAGAACTGTTACTTGCATTTATGCATAAAATATTCATTAATTTTATAAATCGGAGTATTTTTTCACTTACTTTGTATTCAGTGATAACATTAATTTATTTACTATGCAATAAACACGAATATTTGAGAAAAGAAAAAAAATAATAAAGTGTCATAATTATACTGTTACTTATCGGAACGAGTAGACTCATTTGGAACATCTTTAACAATTATCTGTTAAATTTATCGTTGTTTATATGCCCTGCACCGCTTACTGGAATAAGGTATAGTGCTTTATAATAAATTTATTTCATCTTGATATTCTAAATGTCTTGGTACCTTAGCAATATTGTTTGTACAGGTACAATTAGAAATCACGGTCCCAGTATTTTAAAAAATTTGTAAAATCCTTTGAATTGTTGAATGACTTGGAATTAGTCTATTGGGTTATTTTACGCTAAATAAAGAACTGACACTTCGCGCAATTTTACCTGAATAATACATTTTTATCATTGCTACTATAGGCTATTCCACGAATATACGACTGTTTTGGTTTACTGCGACAACGAATATTTTACTGTGCAAGTAGAAGTATGAAGGTCAATTAGTCTAATCATTATTCCAATAAAAAAGGGTTTACTAGTATGACATCTAAACTAAAATTATTTCAGTTAAAATCTACAAATAAATACAATGACGTCTATGAAGCCAAATGTGTTCATCAGACATTTGGGTAAGCTTTCCGTGAAATGTACACACCAAAGAGGCGTGCCGGGTTTCTTTGATATAACACATTTTATTAATTTATTAGGTATTATAACTGTAATAAAAAGAAATATACTATTTTTAATATAAATGAAAAGAAATTGGCAGAAATTGGTAGAAGAATAAGAGAAAAAGTGAATAAGTAAGATTTTTTGTTTTTTTAATATTAATTGAATATTCGACTAAAAAATTTATACTATTTGATCACTTAAGTACTGTTACATTTCGTTTAAATTACATAATTCTAAAACCAACTTGTTTACAATGAAATAATTGAAATGAAAAAATAAACTCCATGATAGTAATTATATTATTATTTAATATTAATATAATTACATATTAAATCTATAAAATAATTATATTAAATCTGAATTACAACTGTTTTATAAACTATTAACTTTATATTTATATCATGACTTCATATTTAAATCTAAGGTTTATATCTGTCGTAACAGTATTTTAAAAATGGGTAGAATTTATTATTGTACAATTCAGTACATTGGACCAATTGAATCGACACCTTAAAGCGAATTTAAAACAGTCGTACATTCGTGAAATGGAGTATATCTCCTCAATTGAGTACATTTTTTAATCAATTTTATTTAAAAAAAAACATTTGTTTTTATTCAATAAATCATAAAATAAAAATTTTGACCAAACTCAACACGTCTTATACATTCTTGCAGTACGGGTGGCCTGAAAAATGTATTATACTTTTGCATAATTTTGGAATACAGATTTCAGTCTCCTACAAATAGTTTCCCATGACTTTTGGCGTAGGGAAGCAGGAATTCAACAATTTATAATTTCCCATGGTCCGTTTGACGATTCACCACTCTATAATCGTCATATATAAAATCACTTTTTTAACTTTAACGGCGACTTAAGTATTGGTGCCGTTTTATACCCATAGTTGAGTGAGTCATCTACAGGGTCCACTCGTTCGGGTTATTGTTACAAAATTAGCGACCACGAACGAGCATGCTGTTCTACAACGGCAAGTTCTCACCGCCTATCTATGCGGAACTAATTAGGTGATAGTACACTTATGAAAGGTTTACTTAAAAAGGTGCGTTGTCTTCTGAAATGGCTGCCCATCACTGCCAGATAAATTGTTCGAATCCTACAAAAATTAGTTTTTTTAAAGGAGGTATACGAAGTGCCAAAGCTATAGTATAAGTACCTAAAAAAAAGTGTACAAAGAAAGTTAATTTTGGTTTTAAAGAAAATAAATTGTTTTTTTATTTGTCTATAACACTATTGTATTTAT